AGCCTTTGCATCATAAACTACGAAGTCTCGAATGTGCGTATGGCCTCCGAAAAACTGAATTGGGACATCCTTCTTGATACTTCGAATGGCCTTGAACACAGTTCCCATTGTGCTACTGGAGACATTCGTCCGCACAGGGTTGTGGCCAGCAACCACAAACAAGTCAATTGGCTTGCTGAAGTTAACAGCTTGCTGAAACCATTTCTCTTTGACCATATCCGCAGCTTTAATGACCTTGGAAACGTTGCTGTGACCAGTAAAGTCAAACAGTACACCAAAAGCCATGATTCGAAGACCTGCAAACAGTCAGTGTATTCCTCGAAGTCGTCCTTTTTGACATACCCTGCTCAGTAGTGAAATAACGATATTGAGCCCCGATGTACTCAAACTGACTGGTGGCTGGGTTGATGATTTGAACATTGCTAGTAATATACCTGTCGCCATATGCTTTGGCAAAGCCGCTAAAAGTCTCATAGGCAATCTCGGTGACATATAGCTCATGATTGCCGATAGTCAATATATCATAGTCGACATTTTCAAAGATCACATTCGAGACCCTGCCGTTGGGCGTCGTCGCATCGCTAAGCCCAGCACCATCGTGTAAGTCCTACTACAACGTTAGCAAGGTCACATTTTCTCCACATACGTGCAGCCCTACTCGTCCCCAAGGCTCTGATAGTAGATACTAACCCCTGTGTCAACTAGAAGCAGATCAACGCCAAGTTTGCGAGCTTTCTGCCTCATGTGTTTTGTGAAGCTGACATAGTCGCCCCAGTCGGCGCCGTAGTTTTGCTCCTTGATATGCCCCTCAAGCCAGCCATGGGTGTCGGTGGTATGTAGAAAGTTGATCTGACCCCATTCTAGAGGGCCTTTTGGAGTTGTAGTCGCGTTTTGTGCGTCGGGTTGCATTCGGCGGACATTCCTGGTCAGAACAACATCATCTTTTAGCGCCCCATAGCAACTGTGGTCACCCTCACAAGCCGAAGCTGAGGCGATGAGTGCTACAATTGCACTATATGTAAGGTATCGCATCTTCAGAGGCACTTGGGATACCAGTATCGCATGTTAGGTAGCAAGGACGGCCTATTATACATACGTTCCGGGAGGGGATGGAAGCGTATGCACACTACTGAGCCAGTGGCGCGCCGTGTTCCGTGCGGAATGGAGGGACAGCATCAGACTGCACATGTAGCTATTATTGGTGAAGGAGATAAGCTTTCGACAAGTCCTTGATGCCGAGGACCAAAAAAGCTTAAACCCAGACATTCTCCTTCCTGATAGGTGACAAGCGCGTCGATTAGCGTTCCGTGAATCGGTCTTTCTCTTGCGCCTCTCCGATTGATGCCCGGAGCCTTTTCTGCATTGCGGTAGTGCCTTTGCCACTACCCAGGATTTCTCCTGCCACCATGCATTTGCTGACGCGGAGGCTTTCGATACTTTCCACCAGAATTCCCAATCGAAAGGCGGCGGCGCGTACGAAGTATATAATAACCAAACGCCACATACAACAAGCAGTGTGCCTATGACCCGTGTCGTCCCTCGATGAAGCCAGGCACCGGCCCGCGGACGGACCAAACGATCGAGCAAGTACACAGTACGAACCTTCCTATAAAACGATTGATCTGATCAATCAGATTATCCCATACATGTGTCTGATTTTCTAGTTTACAACCTAGCTTTGACCTCGTCTCTAACAACAAGACCAAACTTGCCATCCTTTTCCTTGTCGCGCAACACTCTTCTCAAGATCTTGCCTGAAGGACTCTTCGGTATCTCACTAATAAACTCAACCTCCTTAACCCACTTGTATTTGACCTTCTTCTCCTTGACGAAAGCGATGATTTCTTTACCTACTGCCGTACTCTCTTGTACACTGGGCTTGAGTACCACATATGCTTTTGGCAGCTCTCCAGAGTAGTCGTCCTTTATGCTCATTACAGCAACATCCTCGACTTTAGGGTGGCCAAGAAGCAAGTCTTCAAGTTCAGCTGGAGCAACGCCGATACCCTTGACTTTGATGAGTTCTTTGATGCGGTCGGAGATGTAAATCATGCCTTCCTCACTGATAGATCCGCGGTCGCCCGTGTGTAAAAAGCCGTCTGCGTCGAATGTTTCCCGGGTAGCTTTTTCGTTGTTGAGGTATCCCATTACTACCTGGGGTCCGCGAGCAAGCACTTCACCATCCTCGCCAACATCTCCCTTCGTACCATCGTCCTTGATGATTTTGACCTCGGTAGAAGCAACTATCGCGCCACCAGAGTGGGCGTACTTGTAATCGTACTTATCAGGCGGATGAGCAGTAATGCAAGAGCAAGATTCAGTCATTCCATAGCCTTGCTTAAAGCCCGTATGCGGGAATTTCCTCTGCAGCTGGTGGATGATTTCTTCAGAAAGTGGAGCGGCGCCGGAAGAAAAGCGAACAACGTGGCTGAGATCGTACTTGTCTACTATTGGGTCGCGGACTAGCCGGATGATGATTGGAGGTACCAGTAGAAGCTCCTTCAACTGGTATTCGACGATGACGTCTAGCATCTTCTCCATTGAAAACTGCGGAAGCATGACAACTTCCGCGTTGATGAGAATTGGTAAGTGCATCTGGTGAACCAAGCCTGTAATATGGAAGAGCGGAAGTACAGCCATGACCTTCTTCTGCGTTTCCGGTGTCAACTGCTGCACTTGCAGACACTGTGCTATAACGTTTTGGTGACTGATCATGACGGCTTTCGGCAATCCAGTTGTTCCAGATGAGAAGGAAAGAAAGCCACAAATATCCTTATTTTTCTTTCCAGGAGGGATTTTAAAAGCAGCTGTCTGTCCAGACTCGCCATGTGATTTTCCCATGCGGATCAGATCTTGGACCGTAGTGTAACCAGGTAGCTCGTCCTCGAGCAGGAAGATGTTTGATTGAGGTATTCCTGCAGCCTTTGCGCTCGCAGCTGCGATTTCCATACTTCCTGGTGTAGTCGTCAAGAATTTTGCATCCGCCGTCTTGAGTGCAAACGTCATCTCCTCAACGTTGTAGGCCGGGCTTGCGCCGCTGATCTTCGCACCCACACGGAGCCCAGCAAACATTGCTACTGGATACCATACTGTATTCTGGCCAAAAAGAGCCACCGTATCGCCTTCTTTGAGATTGTACTCCTTGACTAAAGCTGTAGAAATGTATGTAGAGTACTTCTTTACATCAGCCCAGTTCACACGTTCTTTCGTGATGGCGTTGTGGAAGCCTGCAAGCTCGCTTGACGGATAATTGTTGACTGGGGAGTAAGGCGAATCAAAGAGCCAATCCCAGTCCGTCAAGTCGGTAGGCACTACATTTGTTACTAAATGCGTAGTTTTCAAACACATGCGTACCCGGGGACAACGTACGATCGATAGGTGGTTGTTTTGACTTGAAGATCACCATCTTGATCTATTCAATGCCTTGAAATTCCAAGGAGACAAATATTGGTCAAACCAATATCTATGAAGCCAAAGTAGAAGTGATGCAGGCGGACAATGAATGGTGCAAAGCAGTGAGTGGAATTGAGGAACAAGGATTCGTGGAGCGGAAGAAATCATGGGAGCTAGCAGGCAGATGGGGATTTCTATCCTCGGTGCATCTATCCCCATCGGATATGCAGCTCTCAATACGATGGCGGAGCGGGGACAAGGCCTCTGTAAGGCGGGGTTGCATACACTACCCGAGTCATCTAAAAGCGGTCAAGATCGCCGACCCCCACTGATATCTTCCCAGATAACACCTAACTACACACGCAGGGGTACATACGTATGAATTACTTCACTGCCACCCAATGAGCTTTTTGGGGGTTGTTTCATTGTGTTTTTGCAAAGGATACACTGTGTTAACTTCATCCATTAAAGCTATTCCACTGAGATCAAAAAGCCTCCACATCCCAGTACTACTATAATCATCAACCACACCAAAACATGTCCTCGGAGCCAGAAGCACCCGAGCTCGACCCCGTCCTAAGAGTACACTCAAACAAAGACCTTCGCATAACCCTAATTGGCGCCGGAACAATCGGCCTCTCATTTGCCGCATACCACCTCACCCACCTCCTCAGCCCCTCCCAACTAACAATCTACGACACACGACCAGACCTCGACCAACACATTGACCAAAACCTGAGCGAGCTCTTCGCCGATGCCCCGGCAAAAGCAGCAATAGACAACATTCGCGTCGCGACCTCGCTCGCCGACGCTGTCTCTGAAGCGCACATCATCCAAGAATCCGGACCAGAGAACCTCGCTTTCAAGCGACAGCTTTGGGCGCAAGTAGAGCAGCATGCACCAGAGCACTGTTTGCTATGGAGTAGTACGTCTGGGATTCCGGCGTCGGCGCAGGTACAGGATATGAAGGATAAGTCGAGGTTGTTGGTGGTGCATCCGTATAATCCGCCGCATGTAATGCCGTTGCTGGAACTAGTTGCGTCGCCGCAGACGTCCGAAGACGTTGTTAAGAGGACGCAGCAGTTTTGGGTGGATCGGGGGAGAGTCCCGGTGCATATTAAGAAAGAGACGACGGGGTTTGTTGCGAATAGATTGGCGTTTGCGCTGCTACGTGAAGCTGTGCATTTGGTGAATGAGAATGTGGTTTCGGTCGAGGAGCTGGATAGTATTGTGGAGAGTAGTATGGGTCCGCGGTGGGCGGTTGCGGGGCCTTTCAAGAGTTATCATGCTGGAGGTGGGCCGGCGGGGTTAGAGGGTTTCTTTAAGAATATTGGGGGAACGGTGCAAGCTTGCTGGGACGATTCAGGGAAGCCGAATGTTGGTGATGGGTGGGAGGAGAAGATCTTCAGGCAAACACAGGAGGTTTACGGTCAAGTCGATGTTAGTGAGCGAGACAGAATAACAAGAAGGGTGTTAGAAGTGCTGAAAGAAGAGAAGAATCGAAGCGTTTGAAATCATGGGAACTAGTGAATGAATTTCCTCGTCTAGATATCGTTTCACACCACCAAGACCTCCACAACCTAAGCGCCAAAAACCAGTTGTATCGCCTACATGATAAGGTACATACCCGTAATCAAACTAGGCCCAATAAAAATACCAAACCAAAATATAACGTTACCCAGCGTATCTCTTCCCTTCATGAACCTACTCTTGCAAAACGCTGCCTGGGGTATCTGTGTAAGTTGGAATGCAAAGAGATATCCCCTGACCTTCTTAAAGAGACAAAACATGACGATCTCGTGGACGACGGCGCTCAGAAAAAAGGTAAAGAAGGTAGCCTGCATCCTCGACATATGGAAGAAGGAAATTGAAGAATGGTAGACGTGTCGAAGCAAGAAGTTGTGAACAGGCCTATTCCAGTCCCGAGCATATTGCTCAAAGGATACGGAATTCCACCATGGACCATAGAAGCCCCGATCGGCAAATCGCGTGAGCTCCGCTAGTACGTTCAGGAGACATTCCCATATGACGTAAAAACTCAGAAGTGATTCGAGGAGCATGGGGAATAACATATCGGAGACTGATGGAGATGGCGTTAGCATATAACATCAAGTACGAAGTAAAGGTTGCTTACCAATCCATGGAAATTCTTGCCATCCCTGATACAGTGACATGCCAGCTTCCTTTTGTCGTACAGTTTTTACGACTACAGGGTAGATGTACGCTTGCGAGATAATGATCATGACCCAAATGCCACCTAGTGTAGCTGCCGACTTCTCGGCAACGTACCACCAGTTGATACGATCCTGGCGGGGATACTCCAAGTCGTAGATGAGCGTGGGGAAACATGACCATTCTAAGAAGTTGTAGAGATTGAGGTTGTTGGGGTAAATGTTGTCCGTCGTTGTGCATTTTCCACGTAGATCCTCATTGAGGATTGTAATCTCAGTATTCAACACACGGCGGAACCCCTCGATCTGTTCCGAGTCGAGCGGCTTTCCAGAGTCAATAGCTTGACCAATACTTGCAATTTCCAAATTTTCTTCAGATAATCGCGGGGAGTATTTGCGCCCTCGGCTGATCAGATTGCTTTCATTGGGGGTTCCAACGTTGGTAGCAGCTGGCGTCTCTGGCAGGTGCGTCGTTTCAGTCGAGCCTTCTTCCGATTTCATAGCATCCAGCTCTCTAAGCATATCCTGCAAAATGTTCCGTCGTCTATAAACTCGCGATACTGCTCATAATTAGCTCGACCCTCGGTATTACAGGAAGGAGGCTTACAATAGCCGTTGTAGAAGGCATAGGCATGCTGCTTCATCAACAGCACAAAGACATGCAGAACAATGAAGACGGTATGGGTCCAAGGCCACTCACGCCAGAAGGTAATCCAAATGAAAGTAAAGGTGAAGAAGGCTTGCCACAGCGACTGGATAATCCACCCTGAACCATTCCACGTCAAGTAGTCTTTTGCAATGGCTTTCTGTAGGAAGAAGCCAAAGATGGTCGTTGCGCACATTCCGAGATCTGTTGCCAACATGACGAAAAGGTCTTTGTCGACCATCAGATGCAGGATCTCTGCATCTCCAAAGATTGAGCCTTTAGTTCTGTAGTTTCCAGCTGCTATCCGTATAAGTAAAAAGGCCATGGCAAGCCAGAAAAGAGTGAAGAACCCATGAAAGGGCGACTGTGATGCCGTTGCGTTTTGGCGATCGAACGTTGTAAATTGCTGGGTGAAGATAAGATCCCTTGGCTGACCTTTGGTCTTATGGTTCAGCTTCTCAGCCTCTCGCCGGAGCCCAGTCTGTAAAGCTTCTTGGAACTCCGGGTCCTTGGCGGTGATTTTATACTCGCCTTTCTTTCCAGATTTCTCTAGTACGACTTCGATGCTCTTTCGGCGATTGCGTTGCCTCTCCTCCACATGAGTTTCCGAGCCGCTTTCATCCGAAGGTATAGCGGTCGTGCTACGGCTTCGAGACTCTATCCCATGGTATTCATTTTGCTTTTTTGATCTGAGCACACCATCGACATCCAAGGCACTAGATGAAGTATTTGGATTCCACGAATCTTCGCGGTTGATGGGTGGTCGGGTTGATAGGCCTCGGAGTACGTGCGACATTGCTGATGCCCCGTTCGTCAGAGATGTGAGATCAGTCTTATCGCTTGTCAAACCAGGTGTGTGACTGCTCTCCATCGCTCACCAGGCTGTTGGAAAGAAACGTGATGGATTCACCAAAGTGGGCGTGTTGAAGTGTTGTGTTTAGGTATAGGTTGCTGGCCGCTGAAAGAGAACGGTACTGTGGGTACATGTTTCCTTGGGACGGGACTGTCGGAACGGGTGCTTCGCAAGCTCGGTCCAGATGAGGCAATCAAATCAGACGGCACTGGGATCCAGTAAGCACACAAAAGTATATATCGCAGTAGCTGTCCGGACGTACCGAAGCATATAGTACACGGTCGTGTCCAGATGGTGCTTCACCCAAAATGGACATGATGTCATGCCGCGCCTTGTAGTAGAGCAGTACTAGCCGTGCATGCGCATCGGTTCCTGCAGCAAGCCAAATCACGTGTTCTACCACAAACTAATCCAACACTAGGCTGAAGCGTGACCTTCTACATGCATACTCGAGTCACTCGGTATTTCGATTTTCAGACAATCCTGTCCCACCTTTAATGGCTGCTGACCACGACACAGCCCCCCCGCACAGCCTCGTTTTGCTGTCGACCGGAGCCGAGTACATATGGCGTCCTGGGCATTCTGAACTCCAACATCCAACACATCAACTCTCCTGCTTGACTGCACAGTCAATAGAACTTCAACAACCCATTCTCTCACACTAGAACGCATTAGTACAACATTACTTACACGTCTAGTGAATGCAGCGATGCCATAGGAAGGCGTCCCCTAGTCTCGCTGCTGCTACTGTTGGCGCCGCGACACCTCGCTTCTACCATCGAACACCTGTTTAATAAGGCGACCAACATGAATCCTATTTCCATCCCTTGGCACGCCGTTACCCAGTCATGATTCGTTCGAGCAGGTAGAGATACGAAGTGGCTGCCGGAATGCCGTCAAGCCGCAGCAGTGCAGTGTCGCAGCGTCACAACGCAGCAGCGCATACCAGCCACAACATAGATCAGACGGCAAGTCTGTTCAATGAAAATTAGTTTATAAAAGAAACCGTCGTGCCACTCTATATAAATTGTATCATCTAGGAGATCAACACTTACTCAATCATTCCCTCTTGCATATCTGGAATCCCATTTATCTTCGGCGGCTCAGTCGTCTCATTTATCAGACAAAAAAACCTAATACACGCACCGCATAACTTCCTCATGGCACCAACAAGTAGCAGTCCCAACCTCTCAAAAAGGGTGTTCTGCCCTGACGCATTTCCATACCCCATCACCCAAATCTATCTCAGCTACTACTTCGTCTACATCGCGATCTTCCTCGCAATCTTCATCGCCTCGTTCTTCATCCGCAAAAAGAGCGGTGGCGCAGGGAAATCGTTACTCGGATATGCCTACATACTCACATTGCTCTTCGCGATCGTGTAAGCCACTCCTTTTCACACCTTCCCCCAGTATCATCTTCTACATAAGCGGAAGGCTGATAGACAGATAAATATAGTTCCCTAGTCCTCGACTTCACATCTCTCCTCGTAGCCCAATGCCAGTCTGGAGGTCTCCAGGAAGTCCGCGACTTGTCCCTCGCTTCCAACATCATCGGCATCATCAGCATATGGGGCATGCTGTTCCTCGTCGTCTACCAAGTAAATGTCTTACTCCGGAGGCAACTCGGTTCAGCCGTTATGATGTTTAGAATCATCTGTCTGGCAGTGATAGGCGTCATGGGCGCTCTCTACATAGCTTACATCAGTCTATTCAGCTACCTCTGGCTCGAGAGAGAGCGTATGTGGAGAGAAGACCGATATAGGCTTCAGGAATCGTCGCGGCGGCTATCGCTGGCGTTGGTAGGGCTATATTTACTTTGTGTTATCGTGTCGGCGGCACTGGCTACTATGACGCTGTCTGGGCTGCGGAGAGCGCAGATAGCTGCGGGTGTAAGTCATGCTTCCGTTTCCAAAAAACCCTCTACCGCGCTTTACTAATGGTGTTGCTCAGGATCTCATCGGCTGGGTCGCTGCCCTCCATATCTTCATGTTCATCTGGTCCGGCCTGTCCATAGTGCTGCAGGCACTAAGCCTTTACTATTCCGAGCACTTTGATCTCAACGCATCGGTAGTCATGTCGTATGTTCTGACTATGTTCCAAGCGCTTAGCTTCGTTGCGCTATTGGGAATCGCAAAGCATACGTGCTGGAAACAGGCCCGTAAGCCGGCCCAGCATGTTTATGCGCCGGTTATCCAGGGGAACACGGCGTATGTGCATTGAGAGCAGGTGTATCGTCAGGAGATGCGCGTGATTGCGCATGCTACTAAGTAAGCGAGATGATCGAGAGGAAGAGTAGAATTAGACTTTTTTCTTTACGCTGTTATGTACAAACTATACCCGGATCATGACTACTACCATTATTATGGAATACTATTTTTTAATGAAACCGTCTACAGTTCATCATGCACATCTCGTAAGCTACGATACATCAGCCCCATTACGCAAACATGTCCAGTGTCAAACTCGTTTTTTCGTAAGATCTAGCATAATTGACATGGGCAGCTGTGGCAAAGATTAGATGTAAACGACATAGTGTAGATTCAATATATACTTTTTAGTATACTCCACTAGCATGTACAATGTCATCATTCAAGAAGTTAAACCCCCCTACAAAATCCTGCACCAAGCCCTTAATCCACCTTGATAGATCTATAGATCTTGAGTGTGAATAGCCAGCTGGCAAAGAAGCCAATCGTACCTATTCGTCAAGTTAGCTTCTGCTTTTCAGATCGGTTGGCAAGATGTACTTACCAGTGAGAATGAATACTAGCGCACTAAGCAAGGCCGAGTATCCAAGGTACACCACACCACTTGTCCAGCTCGTCCAACTAACATCCTTGATCCAGTAGAGCAAGCAACTAGCAAACACATACACAGCGCTCGCACCAGCAGTGAAGAACGACCGCCACTGCCAGTGATAATTCTCCGCGCAGAGCAAAAAGTAAATCATCAAGACGGTGACTGCAGCAGACGTAATAATCATAAGGCCAAAGCAGAGGAAAAGGAAACCAAACATGTAGTAGACTTTTGAGAACCAGATCGAGTTCATGATGAAGTAGAGTTCGACGAAAATGGCGCCAAAGGGGAGTACGCCAGCCAGCGCCATGGATGGAATAGGTCGCAGGTAGCCTCCAGCCGGGGGGATTTGACGGGGGATCTGGTTGGTGCGAACAGGTGGTTCGATAGTAGCTTGCTTAAAGCCAAACCAGGAACCCGCCAGACTGAGTGGGACTGAGATGACAAACCAGATAATGACAACGACTAGCATTGTGGTGAAGGGCACTGCTCCTGATGCTCCGCGGCCCCAGACAAACAGGTTCATGAGGAAGAAGACGCTAAAGACGATTGCTGGAAGAGCGACGGGGGTATAGAAGAAGCAGAGTTTCCAGGATTCTCCTTGGAAGAATTTGTAGACGCGCGCAGCGGCGTAGCCGCCGAAAAAACCGAAGAGTGTGTAGAAGATGATAATGACAGTTCCGAGAGCACCACGGTTGCTGGGGGAAAGGAAGCCAAGCAGCGCGAATACTATTATACATGTTAGCAAGAGGCGCTCATATCGAGCGTTGGTGGACTTACCTATGGTCAACGCTGTCATGGCAAAGAGCTGGGCGCCATTGCCTATCAAGACCGAAAGAAGTAGCGGGTTCTTTGGCGGCCTGAATACATCGCCGTGAACCAACTTCCAGCCCGAATCATCAGCAGTATCATCAGCATCTCCTGTCTCGCCAAAGTCTTCGAGTGCAAACTGATCCAAGCGGTTATATCGCGCAATATCCTTCTTTAGAGTACGAACAAGGATCGTGCTGACCATACCAACGAGGAACACAACGATTACAGCCGAGTTGATGAGGGAGAACCAGTGAATCTTGGGGTCGTAAACATGGAGATATTTGTCCCACCGAGTAGCAAAGGGAGTCGGGCTGCTCCTCCAATATACGCCATAAGTAAAAACGACCATGTTCTCGTCGTCGTCTTTGTCCTTCAGAACCACTGGTGTCTGCCCATTGCAGGTAGCCTGATCATCACCCTGTCTCTTCGATTCAGCCATTGAGTATGGGTCGACCAGCACGCCTACTACTCGGAAGTTGCCTGGCGAGGCCTCGTGGTAGTCGATGACGATGTCGTAGTGGTTGTTGAGCATGGGCTTCTCCTCATCCACCAAGCCCAATGCAAAGCCAGGCTGATAGAAGATCTGATCTGAACCGGGTTCTCGCAATGACTGCGCCGCTGGCAATCCGTCTATTAACCAATTGAGATCATAGCCCTGGTATATTCTGTCATTCACGAATGCTGCATCTTTGCCCGGGTACGGAGCCTCGCAAAGTAACTTGCAAGTCTCGTTGACGGCCATCTTCAACTCAAAAGGGCTTGTTTGTATACGGTCGCCGAACAGTATGCTCCCCAGACTCTCGCGGATTTCCTTTGGTCCATCTTTTTCGCGACAAAAGTGGAAGGGCGGGTAGTAGTAGTCAAACGAGAAGACGGATCGTATTTTCGGGTCGTTTTGCGAGTCGGCTGGTGTGAGGCGATTGACGTACAATGGTACGGCGTCTCCAGTCTTGTAGGTTGTTGGCGCGGTGCCTGGAAAGTAAAAGGCCGATGCGGGCGAGGGCGCTATGGCTAGTAATGACGCCAGCAAAGCGCCAGAGAAGGATAGATCAGAGCGCCGCATCTTGTGTGTTTTGCCGTCAACGCAGCAGAGGAGCGCAACAATTTATTGTGAATGTTGTGGAGTGAGCCGATATCCGGCTGAGAAGCTGGGCGAGATGCCGATACGTAGCGTTTACAGTGGTGATGGTGCCGACAGTGGATACGAAAGGAGTAGGGTTACGTGGAGGAATTCTAGATACGTGGGCTGTCCATAACAGCCAGGCGACAGTAATGTAGCGAGGTTGGGAGTAATGGCAATGTGGTGTTTTCTGAAGCTACACAAGCCGTCCCTTGCTAAATGGTTACGTGAGAGCGGCCTAGGGAAGTTACGCGTATGCCAAGACTTGAGCCACCGTTTCAGTAGACAGGGGTCTCGACTGAACTAGACTAGAATACATCCATGTTCGCCTTCACATTATACCCTACACAAGCTTGACAGTCTCAACATGCATGTCTGACAATAGCAAACGCAGGGCGTACAATTGCCAGGGTCTTGGAAATACATTGTTGCATTCTACCCTCAAGCAACCAAATTGTATGAGCTGTTTATACGTACATCAATCATCATGTCCCAGTACGCCGAGGCGAAGTCAACGTTTTCCACCCCTGGCAGCAAGGGCACGATGGCACGCCCGAATCCCGCAAATGCGCTGTGATATCGACTATAACGAAACAAGAATAGGAAACGACCTTGGGTATCAACAACCCTCCTCTTCAAACAAGACCATCGTAGAGAGACAAGGCCGAAACAATGGTCTCGTCACGCTTGGAGCCCTCCTTGAATTCAGCCATGTCTAAGCTACCGTTCTCGTCCTTGTCCATCATCCGGAAGATCTTCTTGACGCGCTTCTCGGGTGTGTCTTCGTCTTCGGGGAGCTTGACCATGGAGCCAACCTGCATGCGTTAGAGACGAGTCTATCCCGGCACCGATGCAAACTTACCATCTTGTAGATGGCCTCTACAATGGCCAGCATCTCCTCGTAGCTTATCTTGCCGTCGCCATCAATATCGTACAGCTGGAACGCCCAATCCAGCTTGTCCTCCATCTTGCCACGGCTGGTGACACTCAGTGCGCAGATGAATTCTTTGAAGTCGATTGTGCCTGACTTGTCTGCATCAAAAACGTTGAAGACATAGTCTGCAAACGATGAAGGATCGCCGAACGGGAAGAATTGCTTGTAGATCTTCTGGAACTCTTCCTTGGTGAGCATACCCGACGGGCAGTCCTTTAGGAAGCCTAGACATGTATACTCAGCCACAAGCCGCTTACTTCAATAAACTCTATGCGCACCTTTGTACCATTGCTGTAGTTCTTTCTTGTCGAAGTGTGTTGCTTTCTGCAGATCGGCCAGCTCCTGCTGGGACAATTTACTCTGGCTGTAGTATCGCACAATCAGCAGCTGATTCTGAATCTCGAGGCACGCTATGTGGCAGCACAGCCCCAGGCCCTCCTCGAAATCGCGCACGGCATTCGCCAAGGCAACTCTCTGCATGTCCAGCCTCGCCCGGGTGAGGTGGGTGAAGGTGATGGCGGCGCGCAAACTTGAGGGGCGGATGACGGTGCCCAAGAAAGGGTATCGCGAGTTCCTGCGAAGGGATTGAAGGCGCAGGCGGTACTCGCGCATGCTTGTCGCTGGGGTTGTAGGTATCGAGTCGCGGTTGGGTGCTCGTGCGGGCTGGTGCCAGGAGCGGGGTTGAGGCGCGGATACTTTGAATTTGGTCCAGAAACCATGGCGAGATCGGGAGCAGCGTACAGCCTTGACCTGGAGCAGCGTATGTTCGGGACAGAGGGCAGGAGTCGTCTGACGTCGAGGTGGGAGGCGCCGAGGCCCCGCCTTACAGAAGCAGCAAGGGAAAAGAAAAGCCAAACTTACGATTTACCCATGGCTGGACGAGAGTTGGATTACCGTGAGTGGAGATTTTCTAGGAACGAGCGGGGATATGTATGTAGGGGAGAAGCGGCTAGGCAGTGGTAAAAGTGTTGGTAGGCGGAGCAGCACCAAAGTATGGTATGTGATGGTAGTGGTGGACCAATAGATAGCGGGGCTGCGGCAATGGCTCTGCGGGCAAGGGGCGCAGCGCTCTTCTCTAAGGCTGAGTAGGTGTAGGGACAGGCAACGTTGAAGGGCGACGTGACGAGCAGCAGACGACTAGGTCAGGACGGGTAAGGCAGCGGGCGGAGGGTGGTGTGGTGGGAGGCACAAGATAGGTATACATAATATGACGCGGGATGGCAGCGGAGATTCGCCTCCGAGCGGACAAGCAGCGCGGGTCCAGACAGACAGTGGACGGGGGACTGGGGCCCTTGTGGGCAGCGTCGTCGTCATGTCCCGCACTCGTATGCACATACATGTGCTTGTCCCGGGCCTGGCAGAGCGCCTATGCAGCAGTATGCATAGTAGTGTGTATCCATATCCTGATGCTGTCAGTCAGGTTTGGGCTGCTTAGAGCCGGCCATTCAGCTCTACGCACTACGCACCAGGCGCGCGACCTGCATCCATCCCAGCCCTATGACCCCATCCCATCCTCGGCCACCTGCACCAAGCCTGCGCATCATTCGTGTCACGTGCCTGCGCGTGGTCCCTTCTCAACGCCTAGCGAGCGCGCCAACCACTGCTCTGCTGCGTGTACTTGTGAACGTGTGAACATCCGTCTCACCTCCACTACTCATGGACGACGTCCTCAACGAGCAGTTCGGCCGGGTCGAGAGGGCCCTGACCACCCTGGTCGACTCAATCGCCGCCTACAATCCAGCCACTCAAGCCGCAATCGACCTCGTGGCCGCTGACGACCAGCTGAGCGATGGCCTCGACCAGCGTGCGCATACACACCCCGCCCCGCGCATCCCACTGGCGCTGCTCGCTGACATGTCCTAGTCGCCAAACACCAAGCAAACCATGGCCGCATCCAAACCCTGCGTGCAGAGGCAGATGCTCTAGAAGCCCAGCTCAGAGACTCGGTCAGGAAGCTTGCAGGACTACGTCGCGAACTCTTCAACACACCCGCAACAACATTTTCTCCAGAATCGCGTGCTGTGCCATTTGACGAGCTCCTGCAGTACGCCACCAACATCTCGAGGTATACTGTTCCTCCGACATATCGCGAGCGCGTCCCCACCACCGACAAGGACGATGACGATGTGGGCTCGAGCGGTGCACCCACCAATGGCATGAACACGCCCGCCATTGTGCCAGACGCCGTAGACCTACCCAATGATAGCTCCGAGGCACAGAAGGGGGGCGAAGACGCAGATGGAGCTGTGCCTGACATCACTGCTGAAGAGGAAGAGTGGCTCAGGAAACTGAAAGCCAGCAATCTGGCATGGTATCCCTGGCCAAGCACCGAGAAGATTCGTAACGGCATCCTCTATCGTCTCTCGTACTGGCGCGAGAAGGGCAACGACCTGGACCAGTTTGACATACCGGCGTATCTAGAAGAGCAAAGAAAGAAGGCTCTGGGTAACGAGGCGAGTCTGGAAGAGACTCCAGCGGAACCAACGGAGGAACAACCACATCGGGAAGCCGCAAGGCCAACAAGGCCGCTTAGTGCCTTTACGGGTCTTGATGATATGGACGAAATGTAAGCAGCTTGGCATCAGGGCTAGACACTTGTGGTACACAAAACTCTCGCCCAGTTATTCCCAAGTATCCTGTGCTACTTCTCACATGCAATTGTCAATTCTCTCGTGACTTCAAAGTACAATGTCAGTAATGTGTACTTATAAGGTTTCAAGGTCAATGATGTCATTAGGTGCTGGCAAGTTATTTTGCCTTCAGCTTTCAGGACAAACATGTTGTGTGGATTGTCTTACTGGCGTGTATGTAGTCCTGCACATTGTCGTGCAGGCATTAGAAGCCTTTACTTACTCTCAGGAACTAGCCCGGCGAACCCTGTAGCTTTAGTCCCCAATACGGTTAGTACCTAAATTTTCGGGGAAACCGTGCTCAACTTTTCTCCAACTTCGCAACGCGACATAAACTTCAACTCACGTACGAACAATTAACAATCAAAATGGGCAGCAAGACGCGAAAGAGGGAGCGCGATGTGGATCCAGTTGAAAAGGTGGACGAGGCTCCCGCAAAACGACGCAGACAGAGCATAGATGATCAGGTGAAGCTCTCGAAGCTGTACGTGGATCTGGCCGCAGAGGAAGATGACGTTCGCTTTGAAGCCGCCAAACAAATTATTGTCAGGTTCGCTCCTGACAACAAACCAGCCGCAAAAGACGTTGAGGATGCCCTAGTACGACTGATAAAAGGCTTGTGTAGTCAACGTAAAGCAGCCAGGGTTGGATTCTCTCTTACATTGACCGAGTTTCTCCGCCAGATCTTCGGGGAGAAGAAGAGCGAAATCGAGGGCCTGGAGCTCGATGTAGCATCCATCATCAAAATGGTCGAGGAAAAGACGAAGCCTAAAGGCAATGTGCCAGGAAAAGTAAGAGAACGACAATAACGGCATAGTCCCCAATGCTAATTTGCATAGGAACGACGAGATCACACAATCGGAAAACTTTTCGGTTTCAAGGCCATTATGCAATCGTCAATCCTAATTGAGCCTCAGATTTCTTTGGAAAGCTGGAACAAGCTACTCGACCAAGTTTACAAGATGGCGCGCGACATTCCTTGGCTACGCGAAGAATGCGGCATGGTTCTTGTCGAAGCCGTAAGGAGTTTGAAGGGCCAATCACAGTATCAAAAGTGTGTAGAGGAATTGCTTGAACGCCTCAACTCATTCCAGTTGATTTCAACCCCTGAGGGTGTAGCTGTATGGCTCACCGTCAAGGAAAGCTACCCCGAGGCCCTTCCAGAGGGTGTCTGGCATGCCAAAGACCCCCTATCAAAAAAGGAGCGCTCTCGCCTGGCCAAAATCTTAAAGGAAGACTTCAACAAGACCGAATCAGAAGCCGGGAAGAAAGAGACTACAAAGACTGGAACCACGAACCCGAATCCGTCCTTTACCTGGGACCTAGCGTTCGCTGAGATGCTGCGCAGAGACGAGGCAGCAAAAGAAGATGCCCAGAACAAACCAGAGTTTCCGCAATTCTGGATTGACACCGTTGATGGTAAGTTTATGATGGCGAGAAGATATTGTTTCCTTGCACAACTAATAGAATGCAGGCAATCTCTTCTCTTCTTCCGCATCTCATGAACGCAAAGCCTGGGGGTTCAAGCTACTATCCAGCATGGTTACACGAGTGCCTGATTGGGCTGTATCAGCACTTTTCAGTCCCAACCTGATGCGCACCCTCATCAACCAGAGCAAGAAGGAGGACAGATTTCTCCACTCGGCCGCATTAGCGGCGTTGAACTCAGTCCAGCTCCGGGTCGAGCAAGAAGACGGAACAGCGTTGCCCATCTTTGTTGCGCTAACATCGAAGAATGGGAGTGTTGAGTTTGATCGCATCACAAAAACGAAGACACTCGAGCAAATTCTTTTATCAGCGGACGATAAGAGCTTGATGAAAATTATACGTCATTTCAGGTCGTTGATCCTGCGTCCAGACAGCGAGGACCAAGCGGTTGCTGACAGCCGCCGACAAGCCATCGCGGACTTACTGCTGAGCACAGTCAAACTCTACAAACGATACGAGAAGTTCAACGAGAAAACTTTCAAGAAGGAGGTTGTTCATAGACAAGAAGGCCGCCCATTGGATGAGAGAAAATCGAATTGGCTCAGAGAGACCTTGGAAACGCTGGTAGAGTGTGCCTATTTTGTCCCTGCTCGAAATGCAGAAACCAAGAAAATGCCACTTCCACCTGTCAGCGATCGCAGTAGGACGGTATTCCAGGAACGCCTCTCTTCTTGTCTGACGAAGCTGCTTGACGTCAAGCTTGGAAGCCGCGCAGATGTCGCGCTACTGGTCATTGATATGATCAAAGCTAAGAGTGGAAAGTCTTCGAAATTGGAACTTGTCTTGAAGGCAGACCCCTCCATTCTGAGTACCATTAAGCAAGCATCAGCGACTCTCGCCACTATTTCTGAAGCTGTGAGTACACGTTATAATCTCATTTTTAAATTGACTGACCCAAAATTATAGGGATCGATAGCTGGCAACGAGATGGCTGCGCAAGGCTTCATGCTTTTGTACTCGCTTACGCTTCTACAAGTTTACAATGGTGAGGGCGACGCTGTTATGATGCTCGACGATCTCGATGCTTCATACAAAGCTTTTGAAGCATCACGAAAAGCTTCATCTAAGAAGAAAAGGTCTTCAACGCCCGACGGTCAGAATGCCTTTGTGGAGATCGTGCTCTCGTTCTCGGGTAACGCACGCACACTGTTTCGTCGCATAGGAGAAGAAGCATTTTCTATCTTTGCTTCAGAAATCAGTGCTGATGGACTCCGATCGCTGACCGACATCCTGGATACGGAAGAAAACCTAGAAGGGCAGAGGGAACTTTTCAACCAGGGTGATGAAGACGCCGAGGAAGATGGATCAAGCGAAGACGATGAAGATGAAGATGAAATCGACTCTGACGTGGAGATGATTGATGGAGAAGGATCCAATGATACTTCTGAGTCAGACTCCAGTGATGGCGACAGCGACAGTGAAGGAAACAGCGATAGCGAGGATGATGAAGAGGATGCTGAGTTGACACAGTTTGACAACATGCTGGCCATGACT